TTGCAGATTTCTTATATTTTTCATTCTACCCTGAAGATGGAGGTGATACGTTCCTTCGAAACGTCGGTTAACACCACATNAGGAACGTATCGGCTCCATCTTCAGGGTATAAGGAAAAATATAAGAAATCCGCAAGCGAAGAGACCGTGAGAACCGATAAAAGCAGTCTCACGGTCTCTTCCCTTGCGGGTTTCTTATATTTTTCCTTCTACCCTGAAGATGGAGGCGATACGTTCCTTCGAAACGTCCGTTAACACCACATATACACGGTGCCAAATCCCAGAAGACTGCTTTCTTCAAAAGAAAGGATATCAGAATAAGCAAGCCAGAGTAGGTACATCCGAATTTTTGGAAAGCGAACAAAGGAACAAGGAAGCTAGCATAAGTACAGCTTAACTGTATAGCTGAGGAGAAATAAAGGAGAACAAAACAAACAACAAACTTTCCAGAAATCCAAGAAGTAGAGCAGCATCTAATATCATAAATTGTATTTATCTTAAATTAATATTGGAATATATAGCATTCACCTCTTGCAATTATAATATTCAGTAGAGGTTAAGTAACACAGCCTGTGAACCACTGCGCCACTGAACCACGGATCTTTCGGAAAAACGAGCAGAGTAAATTGCTTTCAATGTTGTTTTTTATATTCCGTGAGAGGGTTGCTACGTTGGAAGAGGTGTGGTAGAGGAACTTGTTCTAGTGGAATTTTGTAGTGCGTTTTGTAGCGTATTTCCTATTTCGTCCAGGGCAGAAGACAGTCCTTGCAGACTTCTGTTCAGACTTTGCATCAAACCTTCCAGCTGAAACAGACATAATTATTAATCAGTGTATCAGTCATTAGCATTTTGACAGAAACAAAAGTCACTTTTTAACAATATGTAGATACAAGTTAATAATACTAAAAGATAAAAATACTATGAAAATTTATCTAGAATAATTTATTTCAATCCACGGAATTAATTCTGTAATAAAATTACATTAATTCAAAAAAGCAAATTTCCTACGCTACACAGTCTCGATACTGAAGTAGTCGTTAAATGATCAACGAGGAAAGTAAATTATATTATTAAGAGAGAGTTTGGCAAACAAGTCTGTTTAAAAATAAAGTTAAAGCAGCATAAGTTTACAGTAAATGTAAGTTGGAAATATTGAGTACCTGGAACAATAGGGCCGCAACTAAAAAAAAAAGGAAAGATTTCACTGCGCTCTTTGGAAGCCAAATTTGTTTTTAATTTTTTTTTAAGTTGGGTATTTAATCTGTGATAAATCCTGGGCCGTCGCAGTTGGGTCCGACACGAACCGCCTGAGGTATGGCGTGGCCAGGGAAGAAACTGACTTGGGCTCGAACACATACACATTACAGTAAAATTAACAACATTTCTGAGTTGTCATTCCTAAACCGAACAACTTACTTATTTACATTTACCCATTACCGTTAGCAGTTTATGGGATGTACGCGGCACCCTCTATCCGCTAAAGTGGGCACTAACTTCGCCGACAAGCGGCGGTCGCGCAGTCGGTATAGTTCACTTGCAGACCAAAGCCACGGAGTCTGTTTTTTGTTTGTCTATGGGATGTAGAGCGTGATTGACAATGTGACGTGTACTACAAATAATATACCTATCATATGTTACAGTAGAAATGAAAAATTCGGTTATTATTAATAATAATAACCAGTGATTATACAAATTCCATGATTTGGAATTATACATAATCATTTTTCACTGTTTATAATTGTCGGGTAATCACCATTAACATAGGTTAACATATAGGCTAGGGGCATGCGTAGCGTAGTTGGTTGAGGCACTATGCTCCAAGTCAGAAGGTCGCGGGTTCGATTCCTGATGAGGTCACTGGATTTTTTTAAATCGACCTATTCTCTCCAGCTGCACTATGGCCCTGGGTTCGACTCAGACTCTAACAGAAACGAGTACCAGGAATCTTCCTGGGGGTTAAAGTGCGACCGGAGCGTAAGGCTGACAAATTTACCGCCATCTGTGAGCCGATTGTCTAGAAGCTTTAGGAGCCTCGACGTCTCACAACCCTATGGACCTCCAAGGTCTATTACAGGCATAGCTTTACCTTTTTTATCTTTCATATGTAGGCTATGTAATGAAGAGAATTTTATGTCCGGTACGTTGCGTGACTGTTAATACGCGAATGCGGAGTAGTTGCTGTGGCGTGAATAGGACCGCTTTCTCTTCTTGAAGAATATCTGGTTAGTGGAAGTTTCATCTGACTGATGAACTGAACCTGCATTTGTTAATCTCTGCAATATACCTGTCTCGATTCTTCGAACAGACTTTCGAAACTAATCTTCCAGTCTTCCAGCGTCTTAGGGGTAGTTTCCTGTGCGTTGGTCAGAATGCTTGTGTTCACGGGCTGAGACGTACTCTCCACCTCTACGGATCTGCGGAACACTCCAGGTACAGACAGCCCTCCGTGTAACACCTGTGGATAATAGGAAACTTGCGTGTAACTTGGGCGCTTTTAAGGGAATTATTTTTGCTTGGGGCCCGAATGGGGATTTCGAAATGATAATGGACTGCAATTGATATCTTTATTCATGGTCTGTGTAACGCCCCTCGAGAGATCTCAGACTGTATATGAATGACACGATTAATGAATATTCAATTGGAAAGGATGTTTAAGGGAAAGAGATCCTGGTCTAATTAGAGGTACTGTGTTGACACTTGCTCGAAGTGACCTACTTAAGCGTTTAGTCGCTGGCTTCTCACCACGGCTGCTCGGGTTCGATCCCGGGTCTGTTCAAGTTGGATTTGTGGTGGACAAAGTGGCGCTGGGGCAGGTTTTCTCTGAGTACTTCGGTTTCCCCTGCCAATCTTCATTCCACCAATTGCTCCACAATCACCCTCACCTATCATTTGGGGCTGGTACAATAGGCCAAAGTGGCCGCAGTACAAGGGACTTGGTCCCACTCCACTAGCATTAAAAAAAACATGTTATTATTGATTCACAGCTTTTGGCAACATTTAAGAATTTCAGCAGCAGTTCCCGCTTTTCGAAAGAAGAAATCGAATTACTGCACGAACCTCACAGTTGGCGGGATTTTGAATCGACACGGCCATTTTAAACACAAACTGCGAGCACAACGTTGCCGTGTCTGTGGCCGGTGAACTCTGCCCTGTCATACGGTTGCTGTCTCACACGACAGTGCTGCCATTTCTGAAAGAAACATCCCTTGCATTTTTACTTTCCGAATATCACGCGTAATTGTTTTCTTTATCCTTCCATGAATATTTACTACATTTTAACATGATACAATTTTATACAACGAGGCAATCTTCAGATAATTATTAATATGTGGTTACCATATAAGTTGGAGGTATGTGGAGCGATACAAACAAAAATTATATTTGAAGAATGCCGTCTGATGGAATGTTGCCCGTGTAGATATTTTGTTAACCGACGTTTCGGAGGAAAATGTAGCCTGCATCTTCAGGGTATAAGAAATCAGCGAGCAGTGAGCCCACGTGAGCAGGTGTCTATAGACTGATCCTGAAGATGGAGGTGATACGTTCCTCCGAAACGTCGGTCAACAAAATATATACACGGCACCGCATCCCAGAAGACGTCATTCTTCATAGTCACCGCCGTGAAAGCAAATAAATTATACTTGACTAACGACATTCCGAAATGAATTTTGCAAGTAAGTGATTAGTATTCCTGTTTCGAATTCGGAAATTCCTTGGTTCATATCTCTCCTCAGAGACAAGATATCCCAAGTTTTCACGTGATTTTTATCAGTCTCTGCTTGCAAATGTCAATGTATTACTTCAGATTCGACAACTACAGCTTCTTTTCAATTCATTATTCACTGATCCTATCGTTTCGTGTTATAATAACGTGAGCCACTGAAATCGTTGTTAGATAAACCGTGAGTGAGCGTTCGGTATAAATCCCAGTACCAAATTTAATCTAAATCTGTTAATTGGCTATGAAACTGAACCTGGGACGAGAGATGTGACTTTCTTTATAACACAGAATTTTTTTTTTCCTTGGGACTACAGCCCCAGTGATCCTAGGCCTACCTCAATGAACTTCTCCGTTCACTTCGGGTTTTCTAGATCTTACACATTCGATAGAACTCCTTGGGCGGGTGATCAGCTCGTCGCAAGGCCTCTACCTGTACACAAACACAGAAAAACGCGCACACACAAACTAAACATACATGCCCTGAGTGGGATTCGAACCCACGATCGCGGTTTCCAAGCGAGCGAAGACAGTGCATGCCTTAGACCGCTCGGCTACCGTGACCGGCAACACTGAGTTTACTTCTTGCAAAGAACCCAGAAAAATTAGCGTCACTTTAATCTGAGACGCTACGTCCTACGCCTAGCAACTCCCTGACACACAAGAATGGCTGGTCCTGAAGTTAAGAATCTCTGGTTTAGACTAAGAACACTTTATTATAGTTTCGGACTTACCTGGAGGAGGCAAAGGGCAACGAGAAATAATACCACTGGTTTGGTAACCATGATGTGTGTCTTGCTTCGCTTTCTTTGAGCTTCCTCAACTGCTGTGTTTCCTTCGTAATGTATTCTGAAATATAAATGGTAGGATTTATAGATGCAAATGTTCGACAGAAGGACTTTGTTCTATGTCTTAAAAATCCCTGTTATTAATCTTGCCAGCGTTTCATTTGACTTAGGCCGTCCATGACAGGTCACCATGGCACATGATAAGAATATTTTTGTAAGTACATAATACGGCTGCATGATTGACTTATGTCTCTGATTGATATGACTTCACTGTAATTTGATATTTAGATGATAGAAATGAGGTTCATATACAGAATTTTAGTCGCTTGAAATACCTAGACTAGAGATGGGAGGATAATAGTAAAATGAATCCCAGGAATTACAATTAACTTGTGACGTGGCATTGGCGTGTACCTTCACTGTTTTAGGAAACCGAAAAAATAAAGTTTTAAAGTCATACTGCGTGTTCGCGACGGTAGAAAATTTATATTTGTGTGTTAATAACATTGACAGAAGGGAAAGTAAACAGTGAGCTATAGTTCTGGTTTAACAAAATGAAGTAGTGGGTCTGGAACGAGGTCCGCTCAGCCTCGTCAGGATAATTGAGAAGCTACTTGAATGGAAAAGTAGCGGCTCCGGTCTAGAAAATCGAAATTAACGGCCGTGATTATTCGTTGCTTTGACCACGCGACACCCTCTAGCCGCTAAAGTCTGCACTAACTTCGCCGACAAACGGCAGTCGCTCGGTCGGTATAGTTCGCTTGCTGATTAAATCCACCGTAAAAGTAAAAAAAAAAAAGTAAAGCTATCCCTGTAACAGGCCATGAAGGCCCATAGGGTTGTGAGACTTTTTGAGGGTCCCACATTATCTAGACCAGTCGTGTCAAACATGCGGCCCCCATAGCCACAAAGTGCGGCCCCTCAACTTTTAGAACTAATTGATATTAAAATCAATATTAAAATTAAGTTGAAATATTTTTTGTAAAGACAATTTGCCAGCAGACCAGAAGACAAGAAGTCTGACGCATACATAAATTAGCAGGTTGCAGGAAATTCAATGTTTTGCTATTTCTAACATAATTTCTTGTGTAATCTCTCTTTTTACATATTGAAAAGTTGTTTGATACTTTTCAAAAATGGCACTCCCTTGCTTTTTAAAACTGAAAGATATGTGACTTTAGGTAATTATATTGCAATTATTCCTAAATAATAAATATAATTAAATTTCCTTGTATCAAAATCTAATGTATATTTCTCTTTTGAAGTGCGGCCCTGGACTATTATTTATAGGGCTGAGGTGGCGCTCTGTACAAGTTGAGTTTGACATGCCTGTTCTAGACAATCGGCTCAAAGATGGCGGTGATTTGTTTATTTTATTTCCAAATTTAAATTGATACCATTGAGAAAGTAGGTGAGTAAAAACAACTTGGGCATTCCAGTCTTCATACGCAGACAATTTTCGTTGCCTTCTCCTCCTATGCCCATGTTGCATTTAACGTGATAGTTCCATTAATAGAATGCACGAACAGAGTATAACGGTCTATGGTTCTGTTTCATAGTCAAAGCGTGTGAAAGCACTACTCGTATTTGAGTCAGAATGAAGTGTTCCAGGGCGTAGAAAGATTCAGAGAAAAAATAAAAAGTAAAGTAAAGCTATCCCTGTAACAAGCGATGAAGGCCCATACGGTTGTGAGAGGTCGAGATTCCCACATTTTCTAGATAATCGGCTCATAGATTGCGGNTTCAGCCTTACGCGCCGGCTGCCCTTAACCCCCCGGAAGATTCTTGATACTCATTTCTGTTAGAGGCTGAGTCGACCCCAGGGCCACAATGCGGCTGGAAAGATTAGGCAAATTGGGAAAAAAAATCCACCTCATCGGGGCTTAAACCCTCGATCTCCTGGCTTGTAGCATAGTGCCTCAACCAACTACGCTGTCGCGTGCCCTAAGATTCAAAGAAGGTAAAATAAATATTCTTATGATGCACATTCAGGATAATCACGTGCTGATGTCAATCCTTGAAAGCAAGATGGTTGCTGTACATACAGCTGAGTTGACGTTATGTAATTCTGCACTTGTTAACAGTGTGCTTATGTGTTTCATATGACATGTAATGACTGCGCTGGCGAGACCAGCAGCAGTTGTAAACGATAGACCCATCCTCTCGTGAGAGAGGATATTACATAAGGACTATAACCCGCAAGTGTTCAGTTGGAAAATAAAATTATTGGCCGTGAGTCTCAAGGGGCTTGTCGCCGAGACGAACTGATTGGCTGTAAAGCGCAAGTCGTAAGTTAACGGTGACTCTGACTCTGACTGAACTCTCCCATGCGTGCTATACACTCTGCCAATTTTATCCTCTCGATGTTGTCATCCTAATTATAATCGACGAAAATATATATTATGACGGTCTTCAGTAGCGTTTGCAATTTTGTACCCCCTCCTCATACGTCTTCCCTTTGAGTTCATATGGTCTCAGTACTCTATTCTACAACACCGTCTATCCCGCCTCGTTGATAGTTTCAAAACAGTGAGATTTGTTATAACTTTCAGACCACGTGTGGCAAGAAAATGTCATATGAATCCAGTAACTTACGTGACAGATCAGTGTTGCGATGAAAATTGTGGCTGTTATAAAGTCGCAAATCCATTGTTCTCTGTCGTGTCATACTTGTGAATTTACAGTTTGCAATTTCCCTACGTTATTAGAATTACTGCCTAAATGAGTTCGAGCTTCCTCCAATACATCAGCTACACTGTGTGTTACTTGTGTTTGTGCGTGCGTGCGTAAAAGTTGAACTGTATAACATAATTTGTTCCCTTTGCAAAATATTTGTTTATGCCGCGAATTTTTTAAACTGTCTGTACACTGATATGAACCACGAGACTGCATTAAACATCAGTTAACTATTTTCATTCATATTAGACGCTTCAATAATTGTGTAGCTGATACAGCTTCGTTAAATTGCCTAAAATTGCATATCTTATATAATTCTTCACTAAAGAAAGGTTTTGTTACTAGTAGATTCTAAATTGTTCTGACCGTGATGTATAACACTCATAATTACTGGGTGATTGAAGGTAGCTCTTTCTAAGGGACCCAACTGAATAGGTATCTTCCCCCCCCCCCCACTCACCTGAGGACGGAAACAGATCCAGCTTCCGAAACTTCGTGTTTTCTATTTTCTAAAATACAGAACGATGGGAAAAGTCCAAAAAACACAGCAATTCTGAAAGGTTTTGTTACTACTTCATCGTCACGAATAAATCAGTCAGCCATCCACTGAGAATGCTTTCCTTTGTACGTTTTTATTATTAAGCCTAGAAGTTCGTTTTCGGCATCGTTATGTAAGTAAATGGTTTATGCGGATTTATGTTTAAATCTACCTGTATGCGGAATAAGTCGAAGTAAGTTAACCTGAATGGGCCGCGCCATACCTCAAGCGGTTAGTCGCTGGCTTCCCACCGCGGCTGTCCGGGTTCGATCCCGGGTCTGGTCAAGTGGGATTTGTGGTGGACAAAGTGGCGCTGGAGCAGGTTTTCACCGAGTATTTCGGTTTCCCCTGTCGACACCCTAGTGTACGAGTAACCCCGATGCTGAGAGCGTCGTTAGATAACAAGCTCATAACAGAAGGACGACACAGAAATTTGCTGTGCTCTGATCTTTAAGCTAGTCTTGTTCTTACACCAATAATTTTGTTATACCTTTTTATTAATGTCAGTATTGGCGATACCTTTCGAATACAATGCTAGTACGCTGTCAAGACTTTTTCAATCTGATGAAATACGATACAGATATAACGAAGTGTTAGTTTGCATCGTTTTGTCTTTGGATCCGCCAACCGATGCCTTGGATTTTGCCTATTAATTATTGCTAATTATACGGGATTTGTTTCTTTCCCGTTGCCGTCCACTTCCGCAGTCTTCTCGTTGTTTATTGATTATGAAATGAATGTAAAGGGCACCTGCATGTTAAACAGCATTGTTGTCCTTGTTTTATCCTTGTTTATTAGATGCTAATGTTGGTATGTTGGCTGTTTTTTTATATCTGTTGACTTATATGATGATAGCGATGTTCTTTGAACTCCGTCGGTTGAGAAATCAGTTAAGTCACTCAGGCCATGTTGAACAGCAGTGGCATATGTTGGAATCTCAAGGGACTCGAATTATACTGACTGTTAGGGCGAGGGCACACTAAGGAAACTGGCAACCGCAACGCAACCGCAATTTCCGAGAACTGTTATCAGCCTAAGTTGAACACATGTTAGGGCCCCCATACACACACAGTTTGCCCTCCAGTTCGGCCTGCACAGTTGAAGACTGAAAGGCAAAACTGATGCGTGTGGTGCGGCCGGCCAATCGTTTGGACTGTTGGCCTGTGGGAAACCCGTCAGGCCGTCAGTTCTGCCTGCAGGACCGTAGCACGTGACCTGTGTGTCTCAACATTATAGGCTGGAAGACCGTGATTGTGGCATGAAGCCTGCCGCTTTATCTGCGCGTGTATGGGGAGGAGAGGGAGGGGGTAAACTGTCACAGTTTTGCCTGTAAGGTCGATCGGAAGGCCAAACTATGTGTGTATGGGGGCCTTAGTGAATTGAGCAGCGCAAATTGAGGTAACGACAACGCAATATTTTTCTAGCATGGATAACAGGTTTCTTGTAAATTTACTGCATTTTCATGGTGTAATATAGTTTATTACTGAAAAGTACTTCCAAGATTCAGCGGGAGAAATTGGCACATACTATCTATAGCTTCGGTCCCACTGATAACCTTTCCACGGATCTGTTATTATGCGTTATAGCCTTCGAGAGATATTATGAAATCACTGAATACTCACGCCCTGTAGTTTTTTTTTTTTTTGGTGGGGGCAATCAAGTCCATCGCAAATCTTTCGGCTGGTCCTGCAGGACCAGCACTATTAATATTATCGCGTATAGACTCGTTGCTAAGCGGTGACTCTGTTGCGACCGTTGCTAGATAACGCTCGCAACAAGCACGCACGCAACAATATAAGAACTGTTTTCTAAATGGTCCGTGCCAAGATGTTAAAAGCTACAGTCAACCTACTTCACATGTATATC